TGGACTTCAACTCCCAGAATTCCGCAGCCAGCCAGAATTCTGGGAGTTGAAGTCCACATGTCTTAAAATTCCCAAGGTTGAGAAACGCTGCCTTAGATCATCCTAAATGAGATCATTCAACCAGGTTGCTCTAATGTCAGTCATCCACATCTCACTGCAGCCTGGGAGGCCAAACCCTGATATGGATTGGCAAAAGATATCCTGCAGAACCACCGGGGACTACCTCTTCCATCTTCCCCAGCTGACTCGAGGAGAAGGAGGGGGGCTAGTCTAGTGTGTCACTGAGAGCCTCCTACATCTCTGCCTTTGCCGAGCGAAGGTTCAATGCCAAGCTGGTTGCAAATTTTTTGCCTCCCCCAGAGACATCCGAAGCGGTGGGTGGTGGGCGGGAAGAAGTTTATCTTTCCTAGGAATCTGCTTGATCAGATGGTTATCATGCCCCTTGATCTGTGCCGTGTAACATCTGGGTAAGCCTCTTCCTCCTGCGCTGAGATGCAGGCCCCGTCAGTACACACATCCTTCCTTTGCCCTCCCGTAACATTGCTAACCTATGCCAGGACCAGATCAAGTCCTTGCTCACTAATCTCAATAATTCATCCCCATGATTAACATTGACAGCTCCCGTCCTTGGAGTTTTTCTTAGACCAATGGGTGACTTTTCTTTTAATTGTGTCAAAGGCTACAAGACAGCCTGGATGGGATTTAGTTTCATGGGGATTGTTTGATTTACAGGCAGTCCTCATTTAGCGACTGCCTCGTTTCGTCACCATTCACAGTTACGACGGTGGTGGAAAAGTAACTTTGCAATCCGTCCTCGCATTGATGACCATCGCAGGTCTGTAAAGCAAAGGAAAGCAGAAGTCAGATCGTAAGCACAGTTGCGGTTTCACTTAGCGACTGTTTTGCTTAATGACTGAGTTGCCAGTCCCAATTGTGGTCACTAAATGAGGACTCTCTGTATAACCTGCCTTTCCTAGCCCTATCGAGTAAGCTGAGCTGAAAGTCCAGGGATCTTCCGTGGTTGAGGAGGGACTAGAACGCAAGTCTCCCCACTCCTCATCCAGCACCTTCCCCACTGAACCACCCCACTGATATCACTGTATATTTTCCCCGTACAGGTGAGGCAATGGGTAGCCCTGAAGATGATTTGATTGGCATACCTTTTCCTGAACACAGCAGTGAATTACTGGGTCGTCTGAATGAGCAGCGCCGGCGAGGAATGCTGTGTGACGTCACCCTCCGGGCCCAGGGCTCTGAGTATCAGAGTCACCGGGCAGTCTTGGCTGCCTGCAGCCGCTACTTCCAGAGGCTTTTCGCCGGGCCCAGCATGGCGGTGTGCGAGCTGGATTTTGTGGGCGCTGATGCTCTGGGGGCCCTACTGGACTTTGCATACACCGCCACCCTGACCATCAGCACGGGCAGCCTCTGCGAGGTGTTGCGTGCCGCGCGCCTCCTGGAGATCCCATGTGTCATCGCGGCCTGCCTGGAAATCCTGCAAGGGAACGGTTTGGAAGCTCCCGTGCCGGATGATGCTGCTCGGGAGCGGGCCCGGCGTTACTTGGAAGCCTTTGGCACCCTGCCCAATGTGGAAGGCGATCTGGCTGAGCCCCCAGCCTGCCCAGCTCCCCGTCGTAGCAAAAAACCTCGCAAGTTTCTACAGACCAAAGGCTCCCGGCTAAACAACCACATCGCTGAGCTATCCCCTTCGCTGTCTCCCTCATCAACAGGGACTCAGGAGCGCCCCAGCCCTCCCAGCCAGGCCTCGCCAGCTCCAGCTTTGGGCCACCCCCGCGAGGAGGAGGAGGAGGTCATGGCACCGTCTCGTACCTTCCCATTCCCATACGCTCACGGTCTCTCCCCAGAAGACCTGGGTTCAGACGACGAGCCCATTGAACACGACATCCTGACCTACATGCGCCAACTAAACCAGGATGGGCTGTCTGTGGGTCTCGATCCCCCAGACAAGTTGGTACGCAAACGCCGCTCACAGATGCCCCAGGAGTGTCCTGTCTGTCACAAGGTCATCCATGGGGCAGGGAAGCTACCTCGCCATATGCGAACCCACACCGGGGAGAAGCCATTCGCCTGTGAGGTGTGCGGCGTCCGTTTTACCCGGTAAGGGTTGATCTCGACTCAGAATAAGCTATCCCACCCCTAGCACCCAAAACTGAAGCTTGAAGAGCTATTAAGAAGCTGGATATCAAATAATCGTTTCAGATAAACCAGAAGATCCCCACTCAATGTATAATTTTGGGAGGGAGGGAGGGAGGAAGGAAGGAGATGGATGGATGGATGGATGGATGGATGGATGGATGGATAGATCCATTAGTTTATATATCACCATAATCTTTAGGGACTCCTGGCTGTTAATAGCTATCCAATATATTCATATTAATATTTAAAAACCAACAAGCACATTAGCAATTATAGGGCATGTTCTGGAAGATGAAGTCCTTATTTGTCCCATCGTTACATCAGTAAATCACTGTCTGTCCTTTGTTTCTCAAACTGCCTGTGCTGCTCCCCCAGCCAGGTAAAAGCAGCTATAAATCTAGCATCTGCGTTCATACAACTCACAACATTTGATCAGCGTTCACCTTGATTAATGTTCAGTTATCCCTTAATGGGCTGTCTTTGAACCATGACCAAAATGTGTGTTATCCTCAGATAATCATACCCATCCTCCATGATTTCTCAACAGTCACCAAAAATTGAAAGATCATCTTTAGACCATGGTGGAAAACAGGAAGTTATTTTTTAAAATCCATCACACCTTATTGAAATAAAATAATGCAATATCATGCAGTAATAAATATTTTAAATAATACCGTATTTAAGTGAACTAAAGAATATCTAAATAATATCACCGTAAAAAGAGTTCTTTCCCCGATATTATCCCTTCATGGGGTTTTACAAGGTCAACAGAACAACAACAGAACTCTACTGAATTATTATTATTATTATTATTATTGTTATTGTTATTGTTATTGTTATTATTATTATTGTTATTATATGCACAGCAACGTGAAATCACAGCTGCCAATTCTTTAGCTGGTGTTGGCCTTCATTCACATTGAGTTCTTCCCAAGAACCTCGGATGTCATAATGTATCGACGTAGTATATGTGTGGATTCAAGCAGTGTGGCCTTTTGTAATTAACAGTTGGAGATGATATTATTATTATTATTATTATTATTATTATTATTATTATTATTATTATTATT